CCCGCACTGCCGTGCGGGTCAGGCTTTGGCTAGCCAAAGGCTCCGGTTGTGGGGATTCCCCAAGAAAATTGACCTGCCTTGGCCTGGGCAACCGGGCAGTATTCGGCCCACATGCAAATCATGGAACGTTTCTCTCTTTATAAACATTATTGTAGCGCGATTTGTTTGGCACACAGTCTAAAGTCGGATGCGTGTGAAACATATAATATATCCCCAACCAGAGCGACATAATCTTTTTTCTTATGCATTGCTCATGTGAAACAATCGTTTCGAAGATAAGTCTCCTCCTCAGAATGTTGATTTTTCTAGCTCCACAGTGGCGAATGACATCCGAATTCAGCACCATCACATGCTAGAACTCCATCTCTCCATATCTAGTCGGCTATTGGTTTACGAGACTAAATGTGTGTGTGATTTCAAACACAAACTTGTTCGAATACGTTTTCAGTAACGGATCGCATTCCTCACGCTCTCGCCCCATTCTCACGGTTGGTCTCATACAAAAATAATTTCCTGTCCAAATGTGTCCGACAAGACACAGAAAACATGTCCACCAGTTAGTCAAATAAAGTGTATCACGAACCTTAGACTTTTTCACGTGTGAAACAAAAAAAAGTGTGACTAGGATTGGAGAAAATAGAACTTACGCTCGTTCGTAAGTACGGAATGCTTCTTTCTCACGTAATTCCTTCTCCGGGTCGTTACCCAAAGCACGCTCCTCACGGTCCACTATCAGATGGCAAAATGAACGATGGAGGGATGGAGATGCCGGGAGGGGGGGTGGGAGGAGATGAGAACAAAGCTTTCTGCTAATATGAGAAAAGTTATGCGGAATATTCCATCTTGACTAAGTGAGAGAATCATTGTTCAGGGCAACGAACCACGGAAACAACTTTCAATGTGCCAGAGCGAACAAAATTTACATTGACGAGCGTAGTTGTTTCGGATAAAGTGAACGATAACTGATTGGTCAATCGTTCGGGGTGATGCATCAAGATGACCGGAACGGTCACGAATGAGATGTGTTCCGATGGAACATGATAAAAAGTGGACCACACAATCAAACCCTGGCCCAGCAGATCGATCAGATAGGAATTTTTTTATTACACACCTAAGTGTGATGAACAGCAGACGGCGCGAATCCCATAGTCAAGAAGACCTGGTGTTCAGCGGTGGAAACCGGCAACCTAAGCCCCGGGATGCGCAACACATATAAAGCCCGACTAGGTTAGGCGTGGTATTAAACACAAGTGAGACACGCGACGCACACAGGTCCATCATGAATGACAAACGAGTATCAAATGATCCACCAAATGTGCATAAACGGCGGGATCACATAGTTTTGAATCGCAGACCGCTTAACATTGAAAAAGATATGCTTTATGGTCAGCCAGATTCCCCTGGGAGAATACAGGAATGTTTTGAAATTGTTAAGAATGGTAGAATGTATGAATCGCATCAAGTACTGTTGTACGCATCTACAATGGGGATAGAGTTTAAATTGATGAACAAAGAGGATCATATGGCTGTACCAGTGTGGAAGAGCGACGGTGACTGTCTGACTAGGGACCTTTGATTCTCATTGGCTGACGCGTGTTTATCTCCTAGTGAGACATATTCAGTCCCAATCCAAGTTTTATTTGGCCCTAGGTAGATGACCAATCGCCCGAATAAGAAGGGAGGGAGGTGTGATATGATACGAACTGGTAAGGGTTATTTTTCCGGGAAGCTGATATCTGCGGCACATGTAAATCGCTGTCATGCTCGAGTTGAGGCGTTGTACGCAAATTGCATTGACAGATTCACATTTAAGTGACAACTTGTCACCTGTAACGTTAGGTAAACACCAAGTAGAATCTGTGAATTCAAATACTGCATGTCACCAGGGAAAAGTGAATGTGTAGAGGAGTTCTGTTTGAATACTTTTTTGACGAGTTAGTATAACTAAAAACAAAGTCGAAGAATGATAAAGTATGATTCAACTACCACTATCGCATAGTCTGCCCAAACCTAGCGCACCGAAAAGACCGATCTTATCAATGGCTAACTCACCCCAAACACAATTTGGACAATTGGATAACCCTGCTCGAAACCCGGGTTATCGCCAAGCTGATTCGGCACACGCAATCTTTTAGGTTAGGTCAAGTCAAGTCAGTAGTAGCTTTATGCACCCGGATGAGTGAGGTTTTAGCATTTATACCATATTTGACTTGGGCTTGGCGTTTTGCAGAACTCCCGGCCACCCTTAACATCGCGAGTGAACACATATGAAGCATGGATATCAAGTGTCTCTATCCACGACTGTCCAACTGCACGAAACAAATTAACGGTATGTGCGATTACGTTTTAAAAAGATTTGAAAATGATAATCCCGCCACGGAATTGAAACGACTCATCCGGTAGAGCATCAAAAAGGAATGCTTCAACGTTCAAGGGAAGCAAATGATCAAATGGTGTTCACTAGGGTCTCGTCCTCCGAGATAGCCCTATGGTTAGTCTTGAGAACAGACAAATGGAAACTATCAGCAGCTCTCAATAATGGTGTCAAAGATACGATGTTGACGACTGTCTACCTCAGTAGCACAAGACAACGCGAGAAACTGGTTCCAGCGACCTAATTAAGCAGAATAGAATAGCAAACTATCCACTGAGCACGAGTTTGACATAGCATCTCATTTCCAGCCACGGTTCGCCTGTCCCCTGAAAACTGAAAACAAGCTGGGTTGTTTTGGTTGTTGTTTGATAAATTCATCAAATCATATAGAGAGAGTATAGTTGTGTTCATCAACCTGGCTTAGATCGTATCAAACTATGTAGAGAGAGAGAGAGAGAGAGAGTTTGTCATGTTCAGTTTACCTGGTCCTTATCTCGCCTAGGTCAATGGAGCATCCCGTGGGGGTGGGGGGCGCGGGGGTTCATTTACCTTAGGTCATGACCGAGTTAAAGTTCGAAAGAACTGTTTCGGATTGCCTTGTCGGGGGGAGTTCGGATGTGTGGATAGCCATATTCAATGACCGAGTCTAACAGACGACTGGAGTCGCAATGGGATCTCCGCTGGGACGACAGTTCGGGGACATACTTATGGGGAAACTTGAGAGCACAATCGAACAAGGTATCACGCAGAAGTTCAATGTGTTGTACTGTCGATACGTGGACGATATATTTTTCATAACCAATCAAAATCCGACCGTCTTTGCTAGAATTATTCCACGCAAAGCACAAATTTATCATCGAGAGGGAGAATCACGACCGAATCCCGGCTCCTGGATATCAATAGTGAACCGAAACCCAGATGGAACTAATCAAAGAACAGTGTACATAAAAAAACATGGACGGGGCGAAACATTTACATTTCTGACTTCGGCTTATTATCCCAGGCACAGCCGAATCACTCGCAATTCAAACGTTCGAACCTCTTTCGCAGACACACACATATCAACGCAATCCAAAACAGTTCCTTCAAACTTTATTTTTACCATGACGTCGGATAAATGAACCCCCAATAAGCATCCCCAAGGGACGCATCAATGACCGAGTGGAGATAATGATAAAGCAAACAAAACACAACAAACTCTCCATACATGCATAGCTTGATGCGATCAAAACTAGATTGACGAACAGGAACAACCGCTCTACATAATTGGAACGGTTAGTTGATGAATACATTAAAAAGAAACGGCTTGTTTTGTCTATCGGATTTCTTTTTTCAAAGTGAGGATAGACATTTTCCAATTCACTCGATTAATTTCACAATGTACCTCCGAAAGCCTCCGTCAGTATGGCCGGAGCGGGTGGGGAAAGCATCACAAGTTGTTGCTGGTCACTCATTGCTTCCACCTGGTGCAATGTTCCGGTACGACCAAGCGTCTCAAAGAACCCAATTGATTTCATCAAAGTGAAAGGACGAAAAACCGGTATCCGGAACTCTAACCGGGTTGGTGATTCACCAACCATTCACCTAGGATAGTTGACTAAAAAAATAACTGAAATCGAAATCAACCCATTTAGGGCGGTGTCGTTGTTTTACCGGTTCCGGTATTCCGTGAAATCCAATCGGATCAACGAACTTCTTTGGGCTATGTGATTGCATAGTTAAACAGAGATCGGTAATTTTTACAATGCTAGGTGGTTGTTTAAAAAGAAGACCCAGACTACGGAAGGAATAAAAACGATGAACTTTGTTGAATATGTCAGAACAATGAGACCGGCTCTATTGACGCAACTAATCCAATCATCAACCAATAATCATACTTTCAACCTATCCCCTAATAGGTGTAAATCACA